GCATACAGTTTCTGTTATAGTTTTTTTTGTTACTTGCAACATAGCAAAATATCCATACCAACTTAAAATATATATACAGAATTCTAAAACTGAGAACATATGTGGTTACAATTTATTTTTTAATTTGTTCTTGCAAGAAATTTCTTCACGTAAAAATAGCTTTCTTAACCACTATTTCCTCGATTCCCCTTTAGTTGATGGGTATTGAAGTTGACACAAAATATGGAGGAACAGGAGCTTCATTTTTTACCTCTGTCCTGGTGATAGAGGAATTAGCCAAAGTGGACGCATCTGTGGCCGTCTTATGTGACATCCAGAACACATTAATTAACAAGCTGATTGGAAAGCATGGGACAGAAGAGCAACAGGCCACCTATTTGACCCAGCTGACTTCAGAAAAAGTGAGTTGAGACAAGTTGTCAGAATGGATCTTTTCTAAATCTAGGATATTTCCAGAAGAAAAGCAGCCATGATGTTGGCTTGACTCTCCAAGACCACCGTGCAGCAGTGTTAACTAGTTAAGCAAAGCTCGACAAATTAGCATTTCTAGAAAAGTACGCTCTGCCTCTCATTTGCCACTTGGAAGTTTAGAGAATAAACATCAGACAATAAAAGTGTTTCCTTTCTGTCCCAATTATACTTTCTAATACCTTTGTTGATGGTTTCATTTACATTGTCTTTCTACAGCAATTGGAGCCTTGGTGGTGCAGTAGTTAAGTGCTATGGCTGCTAACCAAAAGGTTGGCAGTTCAAATCCACCAATCGCTCCTTGGAAACCATGTGGGACAGTTCTGCTCTGTCCTATAGGGTCACAAGAGTCGGAATCAACTTGACAGCAACAAGTTTTGGTTCTATAGCAATTATTAGAACCAAGGTAATTAAACTTAACCTTACATATGTGTTCTTAAATTTTTTAATTGTCTTAGAGAAATAGTAGGGTATATTTTGAAAAATAAAAACTGTCAGAATACCATTACTATTTTGACAAGTACAGGCTTTTAAAAGTAGCTAAAGGTTTAATTTACAAATGTCCATTTTGCCTAAGTGAACATTTGTTACACAGCAGATAAAGACAGTTACTAACCTGGATTATTTTTCCCTCAAATACATAGGTAGGAAGTTTCTGCCTTTCAGAGGCTGGAGCAGGTAGTGACTCATTTGCTTTGAAGACCAGAGCTGATAAAAACGGAGATTATTATGTCATCAACGGGTCAAAGCTGTGGATTAGCAGTGCTGAGTACGCAGGCCTTTTCCTGGTGATGGCTAACGCAGACCCTGCCATGGTAAGTTTGCAAAGAAAGTTTCCTCCCTTCCCCCTCCTCTTTTCTCTTTCTTTCTTTCTCTTTTTCTCCTTCCGTTCCCTTTTTAGGACTTAGTCTTAAATTCTTCATTCACCCAATACTGGAAACGTTAGACATAAACTGGCCTCTTTTTACCCTTTCATTTATTAATCTCCTAAAATAAATATTGTTGGTGCAATTATTAATTACATGGAGGGCGATTTATTGGTGGTCTCATGATCTGTTAGATTATATATTAGAGCCCTGGTGGCACAGTGGTTAAGAGCTTGGCTGCTAACCAAAAGGTCAGCAGTTCAAATCCACCAGCCGCTCCTTGGAAACCCTATAGGGCAGTTCT